AAAAATTTATTGAAAATGAAGAGGGAAGGAAGAAGGGATAATTCCAAACATGAATTTGGTACTTAATTCTAGACTAATGGAATTTATTCAAGAATAATTGATGAATTAAAAAAAAAAATGTTGAAAATTTGAAAAAAGGATAATTAATTCCAAATAAAGGAATTCATTCTGACGTGGATTAATTGAGTTTATTCAAAAATAATTGATGAGTTCAGAAACACATTTTACAAGAAAAAAATAAAAAGGTGAAATTTTGAAAGAAAACAATTGATCAACTCCGAAATGTTTTCGAATTAAATTAATCTCAGATTTATTGAATATATTCAAAAATAATTAACGAAAAAGAAAAGAAAAGGGAAAAAAAAAAACAGAGAGACATATAGTCAAACAGAGCTGCCAGGTAAACCGTAGGCAGAGAGGGAGAAGAGGACAACAAACGAGGGGCTGTGACAAACTGTTTCATTAGGAGGCTAAACCCTCAACAGTGTGCATAATCCCCTAACTGATTACATTGCCCGACAATTGATACCCTGAGGTGGGCATCGACCACTGCTCTCAAGGTACCTGTGACGAAAATCAAAGCAGACCACAAAGCAGACCACTCACCCACACCAGATGGACAACTCTACAGACTGTCGATTCACACCCCATCAAAAGCAAGCAAAACACCCACGAAACAAAGAAAGGTCTGTCACAGCAAAAAAACACACTCCGGACACCCCCGCTGGCAGTAGAGGCACAGCATGGTCGCGTAGTGACGGCCCCGACCACTGCCGCTCGACCTGACCGGAGAAAACCGTCGCAGGGTGCTAGCAAAGTCCTGGTATGTATAGTCTAACAGAGCTGCCCGGTAAACCGTAGGCAGACAGGGAGAAGAGGACAACAAACGAGGGGGTGTGACAAACTGTTTCGTCGGAGTTTCACCAACTCATCAGGAGGCTAAACCCATTTCTTGGGTTCTTTCGGATACACTGTTTTGGACCAGTTTGAGGTCCCGCTAACAATGTTGGACCAGTACCAGGGTGGTACGATAGATGTGATTTTTTGAGTAGGAATAATCAGCGATGCGTTAAGGGTCAGACCTTCTCGACTCTTCGAGGAAGCCTGACCGCGAAGTTTGGGCAGTTAGGCGCTATAAATACGTAGCAATCATCATGTTTGACCTCTTGGGTTTTCCGGTGTGACGTGCGTCGGTGACGACGGGCGACCGTCACCCTGGCGAGGTGTATGTGGTATGACGGCGGATTCTGGGTTGTTGGTTCAGTAAAGTGGAACCCTGGTTTGCGTGAACTTTGTCTACGTGTCATTTTATGACTGTGTGCGTACTGCACTGTGTGCTCCACTTGAGTGTGTCACATTTGTGTATGTTAACTCACATTACCTCTCCATATTACCATACTACCGCATACGTGAACTTGCCTGGGGAAGCTTACCGGGTTAGAGTGAGCGTAGTGAACCTCAGTCTGGTGATGTACTTACGTTACTAGTGACAAAGACGAAGTGTTTGAAGTAGAGGAACCCGCAGGAGCGGACGTAGCTCTTGTCTACGGATGCAACGGGCGGACAACGAGTACCAAGCAGGCGAAAGTTGTCCTTTGCTGTAACAGGTGAGACTCTCGAGGAAGAGATGGCGAGTTCCGACAGGCGAGAGGGTCGAGATCGAGGATGGGACCGACGGGATGATGGCGGCAGAGAACCGGATCGAAGGAAGGAGTGGCGTCCTTATCGGAAGCCGATGGTATGCTACAATTGTGATGAGTCGGGGCACTATGCTAACCAGTGCCCTAACCGAGACCGTCGGCAGGCCACTCGACCATCCACGTCATCGGATTCGCGACGACAATATTCACCAAGACGAGCCGACCCTCGACACACTTATTCACCAAAGAAGAAGGATCCCGAGCTGAGGGATAAGGTGGTGGAACTATCGAAAGGAGTAGCGTCGATCAAGGAGCATTTCGACGCTATACAAGCGAAGAAAGCCGAGAAAGCAAGACACAAGTTGGAGCGAGAGAGAGAGCAGGAGGAAGAGCTACGCAGACAGGAGGAGGAAGAAGCGAGAAGAGCTCAAGAAGAGTTGCGACGAGCAGAGAAGAAACGCAAGAAGGAGAAAAAAGAAAAACAAGATGCTGATCTACGTGCAGAAATGAAGAAAGATGTTACGATGCATGCAGCGATTTTGATGAGCGAGATAAAAGACGATTGGATCAATCAATGGAAGACGAAAGTTCTACCGACGCTAGCAGGCGGTTTGGGTGACGTGAAAGGCAAGGAGAAGGTGGTGTGTAACTCCGAAAGTGACCATTACTCCGAGGGAAGCGGCGAGGATAGTGACACAAGCGTGACTCAAGACTTGAGTGTGAAGGCCAACAGACTTTGTATTACGGAGAAGCATAAACGAGAGAACAACGTGGTTTTGGAGAATAGTCCTCCGATGGAGCTTCCACCGAAGAGAACCCCACAACAAGTGGGGGGAAGAATGCAGAAGACGAACCTACGTCTGACTCGAGCACGGGCGAAGAAGATCCGTACTCCGATCTCATCCAAGAGGAAGACCCCGGTGAGAACTCCATTGGTGAAGGTAATGAAGCCTGCAGGAAAAAAGTCACCTCCAAGTGGAAGAATGACTCCGGCCAGTCGTATCCTTGCCCGACTGCGATATCGTGACTCAATCATGCACGAACTGAAAGACTGCAACGCCGATGAATTGCAGCGTTTTTGCAAGGAGGAAGGGATTCCCTACGTAGGGAAAGTTGACGCGATCTTTGATTTGGCGGAACATCGGGCACAACAATATGCTACTGTTCCTCCACAAGTTGAAGTAATCCGCATCGCGGATTCTGCAGATGTGTGCGCCAGTGACTCGGGTGAAACTAAGGAGTGATGTGGGATCCCCACAGCTGCTTGGATCGATCTTTGCAGGTACCTTACTATAGCCTACGGTGCTCCCAGGTATGTACAGATGGACGAGTGGAGTCTCTTATGCGTTTGGTAGTACTCCTCTTGATGTTGACGAAGGTCGTCAGGTGGTTGGGTAGGTACGAGGAGTCGTGGCTGAAACTGTACTCCATTCACGACATTGATTTTGTACGGCTTACTGGCATTGTATATGTCGTTGTGTCCCCTTATTGTAAACTATGCTATGTGGGAAAAACTTCTCGGTCCTGCGATATAAGATGGTGCGAACATTTATATGTCGTTCGTAGACGAACTCAGTCACACTTCCACCGTTGGATTTCGTCCTTTGGTATTGGGAATTACATACTGCTCCATGTCGACACTTTTGAGGGGAAGGATTTGAGCACCTTGGAAGGCTTGTACATTAGTAGATGGTCTCCGTTTCTCAACACAGTAGGATCGAAAAAGAACTTGGGTAAGTCGGGTAAGAATCAACCCGGCAGAAGGGAAAGATGTAGAGCCCGAGGGAAGCGTGTCATCGAGGCTACTGTTAGAGTCGACCCGGTGTGATTTCATTGGGAAGATAAGGGTTCGGATTTTATCGATTTGTATGCCTTCCTAGAAGATGTTTTGAGTATGGGGGATCAGCGCGTAGTTCTATCCTTGGGTGGGAAGGATTGGTCTCCAAATTGGAAGAAACTGTCTCGAATGTTTGGTGAGACTAAGATCAAGTTCTCTTCGATATGTCGACCTTTGAGAGATTGCAAGAATATTTTGGAGCAGGGTGGAGTATTCGAAATTGTGCATGTCGTGAAATGGAAGGCAAAATGTAAATTTCTGAAGCTTTTCTTGATTGGCATCTTACGTAACCCGAATAAGTTGCAGGAACTGTACAGCTGGGGTATGAGAGCGTTACTAAAGATCTACGGGTAATCAAGGATTTCTCAAGGAAATCCACAAGAAAGTATCTGCGAAGATTAGTTTCACGATGTTTTTTAGACCGTGTTGATTTGAGTCTTTCCTGCGATTTGACATTTCGTATCAAATTTGACGACCGGGTGGTTATCGCAGAAGTTAGGAAAGTAGTTAACGATATGCTGATGACCTGTGACTTACCTTTGTGTTTCTTGCATCGCGCACGCCGAAAGATTCGGATCGTTGGGACAAAGAATCCCACGGTAGCTGATATTCTGCACAACCATCGAGTAGCATCTACTCAAGGTGTGCTTACCTGTAATTGTTCAGGTATGAGGTTTTCGCGTGTGAATGGACATGTGCTATTTTGTCTGAGTGAGGTAGCCACAGTGCACCCACTTCTGATGAACTCGAACAATATTCCTAAGGTTCGGGTAACTGACAGGTTACAGCTTCTTCGAGATGAGTTAGTTGCTGGTTTCAAGGACTGGAGGAACGCAAGGAACTGTAATCCCATCTGTTTATCAGATCTGACATCCTGTACCTCAAGTGGTGACGAGTTTTCTCCCTGTGTATCTGTGTCTGACCTGCAGGCTCTGAAGGTACTTCTAGACGGTGGTTGCCCCAGTCATTAGGAACTCAGGGGAATCAATAGTTATGTGTGTCGGCACCTATTACGAAGCAATGATGCAAACGTTTGTGTATAATCCCGGTTATCAGATAGTTAGATACAGTGAGAAGCAAGCATTGAGAGAAGTGAGGGAGGATGTGTAGCGTCTAGAATTGAGCAAAGTTGTGCATTGGGAGAGCTCTAGTACGTTTGGTGCAGCGTATGTTATCCCCAAGCAGAAGGATTTGAGCCGTTTTCGACCAATTTGTCCTTCTTTCAAAGAGCCCATGATGAGTCGAGCCCTGAATCACCTGCTGTACAGTCTGCCAAGAAGTTGGCATTTCAACTTACGATCTGTGTCAGATCTCACGAAACGGTTGGATAGCCTGAATCGGAAATTGAACAGGCTAGATGGAGTTCGGGTAATTAGCTCTTACTCCTTCGATGTGAAGGAGATGTTCAACAAGTTACCTCATTCGGTACTGCTGAACTCCATTGACTGGATCATTGATCATTTTCTGAAGAAAGGCTTTGATTTCGTTATAGTTAACACTCGTGGCAGAGGCTCGTCCTTCGGTGTGACTACCGGAGCTGACCACTGGAAACGTTTATCCTCGTCGGACATCAAGAAGTTTGTTCGACTGGAACTCGATCATACATACTGTGTTGCGACAGGAGTTTTGCTGAAACAAGTAATCGGGGTTCCCATGGGAAAGAGCATGAGTCCCCCGATTGCATGTATTATGTGTGCCTACTCAGAATACCAAATGAGTTGTACTTTGGGTACGGCCGACAGATGTTTTGGCGCTTTGAGGCTGATTGATAACGTTCTCTTGGTCATTTCTAGCAGATGTGAGGGGAAGAGGCGTTTGATTCTTGACGCAATGAACAATTGCTACCCTACGAATTTAACACTGAGGAGGACAGACGATGGATCAGGAAACTTGGATTTTTTGGGATGTTCGATTAGAACTAACCAAAATTTCCCATTCGTGGGAAGTATCCAACAATCTCGTAACGAATCAAGGATTTGGTCAGACGACCAACTGTTGATCCAGAATGGGCAGTCATTCTTTCCTATTCTTGGGGGAATAAGAAGCAAAAAAGTGCAGTGATCTGTAGTCACTTACACCGCATTGATCGATATACGTCAATCCCCTCGGAGATTCCGGGTAAGGTCTTGGGTCTCCAACAGGAGTTACGAAAGAAGGATTTCCCGCTGTGTTTCAAAAACCGAGTGTTTCGAAGGTTTCGCAATCGTCGGGACGCGTTATGGCGTAGAACCATGGAGTTCGTTTGTGGGTAGGTTGAGTATGCCGAATTTGAACAGGGCTCTAACTATGGCCAGGAGTGGGATATGGTTACCTGAGTTGGATAAAAACAGGGTCTGACAGTTTTGCCGTTTGGTTTTCTTGAACTATGGTCTTTGCTTTCGCCTTTTGTATCGCAGTTTTGGCTTGTATTTTGTTTGTCTTGGTTTGTGAAGCTATAGGAAGAAGGTTTTGAACTGTGGAAGTTTGTTTTGCATTCAGGACCACTGCTTTGACCGTAGTTTTGGTTTTAGTCCTTTGCTATAATAGGAGTAGGACTCGATCCGTGGCACTTCGGGATTGTCGGGAAGTCTGTATGCCCATTTCTTGGGTTCTTTCGGATACACTGTTTTGGACCAGTTTGAGGTCCCACTAACAGTGTTGGACCAGTACCAGGGTGGTACGATAGATGTGATTTCTTGAGTAGGAATAATCAGCGATGCGTTAAGGGTCAGACCTTCTCGACTCTTCGAGGAAGCCTGACCGCGAAGTTTGGGCAGTTAGGCGCTATAAANTAATCAGCGATGCGTTAAGGGTCAGACCTTCTCGACTCTTCGAGGAAGCCTGACCGCGAAGTTTGGGCAGTTAGGCGCTATAAATACGTAGCAATTATCATGTTTGACCTCTTGGGTTTTCCGGTGTGACGTGCGTCGGTGACGACGGGCGACCGTCACCCCGGCGAGGTGTATGTGGTATGACAGCGGATTCTGGGTTGTTGGTTCAGTAAAGTGGAACCCTGGTTTGCGTGAACTTTGTCTACATGTCATTTTATGACTGTGCGTACTGCACTGTGTGCTCCACTTGAGTATGTCACATCTGTGTATGTTAACTCACATTACCTCCCCATATTACCATATTACCCTACACCCTCAACAGTCTGCAGAATCCCCTAACTGAAAATTCAAGAAATTTGATTAATTCAATTTAATTGCCGAATTAATATCGTTTGTAATTGGAAAGTAAAAGGATTGAAGAGTTTGAGATATAAAAAATTCTGCAAATTCCAAATTAATTAAAGTAATTTCGAATGAATTTTGAAAGAATTAATTAATATTCGAATTTTTATTTGGGGAATTAAAAAAATGATATTCAGAAAAAAAAGACATTTGAGGGAGAAGCGATACTAGCTATGTGTGCTATCCAATAGTATTATAAGGGTAATAGTACTAGTTAGTGATAATAGGAATAATAGTTGTAAGAGGGGGGGGGGGGATATGAGTTGGGCGCAGAGTGGTGGGGGGGGAATGCAACAGGAGGGAGGTCGGGATTGTGCAGCAACCAGGGGGGAAACACGGCGGGGGGGGGGGGGGGGGGGGGAGTCGGGGGAAGGGGATCCGCATTGGGGTCCGGATTGGGGGCCACCGAATGGGGGTCGGAGGGAAATCGAGGGGAAGTCGGGGAAAGGATCAAGGGAAATCGTGAGGGAGATCGGGGTGTGATTGCACAGTTGGGGAGGAAGGTGGGGGAGTCGGGATCGGAGAGGTGGGGGGTTCTTCGGGAGTGGGATCGGGAGGGGGA